GAAAAGATAATAACACAAAGTGTTTTTTTTTAAAAAGGACGGTTGGCAACCATTCAGGCTCTGAGGCCACAGCACTAAAGTAAAGTTAATGAAATGTGTTTGCAATATCATAGCTTCCAATTCTGTTATTTGTCGATAAAGCACCCATTCAAAATCATAGCCTTTCTTTTCTCCACTCTTCAGCGTATTTCATCAAGGTTGTGTTACAAGTGAGCTGATTGTTACAGTATTGCCATCCAAATGCGTTTTTACCTCTTCACATTTACAAAGAATAAATCCTCCATGTAACTGCAAATCCTAAACTGTTCAGCTCTATTTCATGTTGCAACGTGGCCACATGTTACTGTCCATACTCTTTTTCACACATGCCTGTGTATTTCTAAATGATGAATTTCATACACTCAAAGGTACATCTATGAGCTACTTTATAGGTGCACGAAGCAATCAGAATTACTACTACTATGCACAACTTTATAACAAGGGGTCTAGATTATCAAAACAAGGATGTCTCATTACAATTGTATAGAACCAACCTAACTTGGAGTATCATGCTCTATTTTGGTCAACCTTAGGATGGGTATTGTAGCCTTGGAGCATGTCCAGTGATGACTCACCAGATTAAAACCTGGACTGAAGGGGTTTAGCCACAATGACTGCATTTATTATATTCCCCAGATCTGAGGAGTTTAAGAGAGGTTTGAGGATTTAAAATTATGAAGGAGATTAACACACTCGGTAGGCTGTGACTATTTACTCTCATAGAGAGATGTAAAGCAAGGGATCTGAACCTTAAATTTAGAGCTAAACCTGCAGGAGTTTGTTCAGAAAACATTACTTGACACAAATGATTGTGAACATGTGCAATAAACTGCCTCAGAAGGTTGTAGATGCCAAACTGATTAAGTTGTTTCAGAAGGAGATAGACTGTATATGGACACGTAGGAAACCAGGATATTAAAGGGATTAAGGGATTAAAAGATTAAAAGATCTACCATGATCTAATAAAATAGTAGATTAGGTTTGATGGGGCAAGTAGCCCATTTATGTCATATGCTACTGTAAGAATTTAGAAGGATGCGATTATTTTGTAATTTGTGAACATGGAAGAAATTCCCTTAAAACGATGATATTAGTATGACCTTTAATTCAAAGTTAGAATTACTATTAGGGTTAGAAAAGTCAAGAACATGATTAAAATACACCATTAATTACCAGCCACCACTGAACTGTGGAAAATTAGTTACCAGCAATCACTCTCCTGTGGCAACTACATCTATCTATATTCTGACATACTTGCCTTTATTTTAAAAATAAATCAATGTAATATTGATTACATTACATACATTAAAAGTTCTACAAATAATAGTGAACTCTACTGGTCCTTTTGTTGCCATGCTCGATGTCTGAAGTAAATAATTTTCGAACACCATTGAAAGGGTTATCCTTCACGAAAAACTGTTCAAGCAAAAAAAAAGAAGATTTAGCATATCAAGTTTGCAATAACATAAATCCAGCAACACAAAATTGGCGTCTAATATGTGGGTGCCTATAAAATACTCAGTCACTACATTTTACAGTGAATCTTGTGCAACTCTTTGAGACATCCTTCTAACCTGAAGAGTGCTATATCAAATATGAGGCTTATTATTAACAACAAAACATATCATTGCCTTACTGGAGAATGATGCATTGCTATGAAACAGGAACAAGTTTTCAGGACTCTTACCTCTCCAAAGATTAAAATGACTAACAATCAGTGGTGTAACATTTTAAAATTTGTTTTATAAACCTTGTTCCTTGAAGGCTAACAAAGGAATTTATTTCTCTTAAGAATATGCATAATTATTCTGGAGAGTAAATTTATTGATGTAGATGGTGCAATGATGTAAATGGGGAGATCTCTTTTAAAAGTTCACACGACTGCTGAGATTGCTAATTTTACTGACAAACGGAAATTGAATTGTGGGGACAAGGAGCACTCCGGTTGTTTCCAGAAATAAAATTGAAAAGAAATGTTAAGAAATAGATATTGTGAGTAACCAGGAACTAATGACAAATTGTAACATTGATTATTTTACAGCTGGATGCAAACTATGGCTTCTTTAAATGTATACTTAAGCAATGCTGGGTCAATGGAGTGTAATGTTTGAGTGATTTGAAATTCATTGGACAATGAATGTGTCTCTGTGATATCTTATTTGATAATAGACACCTTCTGGTACGTTCTAGCTATGGTGCAGTTTACACTAGCTTGCATTTCTGTGCAACTGTGTAGGTGAGGATTTGCATTTCAAGTTTTCTTTTAAAAAGAAATTGAAAAAAAAAAGTCTTTATTTGGACATGACAAGAGAGAGGTTGTAGTGTCTTCTGCGAACGGTGGCAGCGCACTCTAGGTTGGTAGCTTCCTGACTGGACAATGCACAAATGAGGATTTTCCAACAGAGATTTCTGGTTCAAAAAAACAATGATATCCTGGCAATAACAATCAAATTTAAGTACAAGCTACCCACACAGACCTCAGGCAAGCTGCTTCCCCAACCGTTGGCTGCAGAGAGAGCCTACGAAGTTCAACTGAGTGTTACACGTCGTCTACTGTCCAAATGTCATTTTTGTTTAAAACATTCACCAGCCACCTACTCATTCTTATCATGACACATTGGGGTCCAATCTTTTAGCGGGATTCCTATGTATGGAATCTGCGTGGGAATTGCTACCAGGGATAAAAATACATCACGTCACGCCAGGGAAAACACTAAAGAAAACTGCGACAAAGTGGAGTTGTCATGGGTCAATGTGACGTACTTCTGGTTTCCTTATGATTAACAAATCCCATAGGAAATAATTGCATATCAAACCCCAAGCACAGTCCCACACTGCTGGGCCACCCAACTATGCTTGCCTCCAATGTGACCACTTTCCCAGAAATGCCCAGAGCAAACACTTCACAAGTGGCAAGGATACAAGACTACAAGAGAGGAAGAAGGTTAAGGGTTGGCTCTGTAGTTCACTTCCAGCACAAGATCACAAGATTTGTCTGGATAAAAAAAGGCTCTTCAACCCATTTAATCTCATCATTTCAGAACACCTACCCTGCAGCAATGAACTGTTTCTTAAATGAATTCAGTGGTCCTGGTCTCAACCAACCTTCCTAGTACTCTGCTTCTGTTGTTATTTACCCTCTGAATAAATAAATACATATTTTCCGATGTCTGTTCTGAAATTGCACTTTGCAACTGTAAACCTGTATCCCCTTTACTGCTGTTTTATGGCATGCGGAAGTATTGTTCTGGTTATACTTTCTCAATGGCATTTAATTTTTTTGTACATCTCTGTAGGTCCTCTCTGAGCTGTGCTAGAACTGAAGATCCCTGGCATGTCCTAATTGTTTTACAGCACAAGACAGAAACAGAGGATATGAAAAATTGGCGATGAGCTCCCATTATTTTTGCAGCACATGGCATTTGTAATATGCAATCAAATAAGTTGCTCCCAGGGGTGAAATACTGGCTAATGTGTGTTCTGTGGTGGGTTCAGCAATTGTATAAACATGGTAACAGTCCATTACCTGTCTGTTATCTGTTGTGTTAACGATTTTCAACCTTCTTGGAGTCTTGAATCCCTTCCAGAGATAACCATTAAGTCAGAAACTGCTTGAGGATAATTTAATCCTGTATGAATTGTATTATTTCCGTAAAATAATAGCTCGGCGGGAGTTGAAGGATTATGCAGTCACTTGACAGTTTAATTCAGAGCTGCAAATCCAATCAAATGATCTGAATTGAAAATGGAACTGATTCATAAAGGACCAGCTCTGTGGGGGGGTGGGGGGGAGGGGGAACAAGGCTCAGCAAATCTTTCACTATTTGGAGAAAGGAGAATAGCTTGGAAAAGCAGCAATCAAGCAATCACTAGAGTTAGAAAAAAAACCTCACATAGAGTTAACGCCAATACATAGTAGGACATTGTGTCATTTACAAAAAAAAAACACTGAGACTTTTCGGCTGAAGACAGATTTCTTCAACTCTAATCCTTAAGGATGTAAATTGGTCACATTGAAAAAGTCTGTGCACCAAATCAAAATGTCGAGGCAGTGGCAATCTTTAACAGAGCATCCCAATATGGGTCGAAACACCAACCTGGTTCAAATGGAGATGGCTTTAATGAAAAAGCCAGTGCTCCCTGCAACATAAACCCACAGGCTTGCAATAATTGCAAATATCGGATTTTTGTAAGAAAAAGAAAAGCCGGTATAGCTTCATCCCATTCATTCCGATTTGTGATTGAGGTTAGAATCGATTGGTTTTAATGTCTGCGCTGGACATCGGTTTGCACATCAGTTATATTTTGAGAGCAAGTGCTTGACCACTGGAATGTTTCGCCAAGAAAGAAAGAAAGCAAGAAAGAAAGAAAGAAAGAAAGAAAGAAAGAAAGAAAGAAAGAAAGAAAGAAAGAAAGAAAGAAAGAAAGAAAGAAAGAAAGAAAGAAAGAAAGAAAGAAAGGAAAAACACACACACACAAGATTGATTTCCTAATTGCAAATACACAAACAAAAAAACGAAGCAAACGGGGAGGGAAAAATAGAACATAGTCCTTGTTTGATTTTAATGTCAAGTTGATTCAGCCTCTACATATGTCTCAGTAGGTGTCGCTGTGATCTAACTTTTTTTTTGTGCCCGTGATTGCAATTCCGTGAACGAGCATCACACCAATAAGATGACATTTTATTACAGAGAAATAAAACATAACCCAGAACATCGACGTGATTTGCAAGATAATGCTCCATTTTTTGTTGTTTTTTAAAAAAAAAAGAAACACTCACAGCGCAAAGCAAGGTTCTTTGTTTTTTTTTTGCTCACTCACAAACCAATACCAAAAGAAATGTTAATATTTTTTGTTTTTAAGATTCTACAACTTGCATTTTGAGAAGGGACTATTGTCCCACGGGTTGAGTGGTTGCGTTACTAGGAGTGTGTGTGTGTGGGGGGGGGGGGGGGGGGGGGGGGAGGGGGATGGGGGGGAAATATTACAATCACACAGTGTCGTATTATTCAGCTCAGGAATTAGACAATTCTTTAAACAGTATTGGTGTCACAACGCAAACTGAGATGGCTGCAGGGGAAAGCTTTGGTGCTTATATGGAAGGAAGGAATATAATCACATCACACTCAAAAGCAGTAAATAATGTGGGTTAGGTTGGCTCTGCAATATAGAGTAGCTCCAATGTATCCATATATCATATCAAATTATAGGTAAAATAAAATATCCAGGTGCCGATTGGAGTGGTACAATGTGTTGGGTGGGTTGGGTTGGGTTAGGTGGTTCTCTAATGCGATTACAAGATTCCTGCACACTTTACACAATTATTTCTATGGAAATCAAGATTGTCCCCCAAGAACTTCAAATGACGATCGGATTATCATTAAAGTGGAGAAGGTGCAATAAAAAAAAATTCTTGCACGGATTTGGAGTTGGTGGTTGGATGTGGTTGGTTCATTAATTGACAAACTGTGTCCAACGGTGATCTCTGGATTGCACGATTTATTGTGTAAGAGGATGCACTCGAGTTAAAATCTCGCACGTGTGAAATTGCCCAAAAGTTGTTCGTTATCAATATTAAATTCCATTTTGTATTGATTCTCCCGAACAATGCCCAAAAGCGGTGGTTTATTTATTCGTCCTTGTTCTTCGGCAAAAGGCTCCATTGCTAGAGAATTACAGTACATTGGGTGCAGAAGGGTGGGAGTTTAAGGTCGATTTGGCTGTCCGATCCGTGGATTTTACCGTCCAATCGCTCTTTGCTTTAAGAGAAAGTGATAGTGGAAAAGTCAGCACTAAGACTATAGCAAAGCACCCTTCATAAAGCCACAAATAAGAAGCAGGACAGCTAGTCCATGGCTTGCAGCTACGATCGTCGTACCTGCGAAAGAAGTTAAAATATTCGCTCATCTGGAAGATTTTGTGTTTCTAATATTTCTTAGCAACGTTTCTCAACACATATATTTCAACTGGAGTCCAGCATAACCTGTTAATGGACCGTCGACTGGCTTAGCATGCAATTCCACTATATAGCACGACATATAGAGTCCACAACCCTGATAAGATCAAGGTAGGGAAATTGATCTTTGAGAGAGAAAGCAGGATTCTCAGTGAAAGGGGTTGGGGTTGGGGGCGACAACATTGAATTTATGCCAGAACAAAACAAAGCATTCAAACGGTGTTTTGGTGAATTTGTAAATAGCTGAAGTCCTCTGAGAAAGAACGTTTCAAAAAAAACAAGAGACAACAAGTTCTTGCTGAGAGGAGTTCAATTTGACCTTATCAAAGCTAATTAAAACCACAGAACTCCACTGTACACATTACAGAAAACATTCACTGTAATATATATTATATATAAACATCTAATCATGTCATAGTAATATCATACATAATATACAGGGCTTATAATGACTACACATTGTAATATAAAATCACACTACATTGTATGAAGTATAGGCACCTCTGATAAGATGACTTTACTATGAGGGAGATCTATTGTCCTTCAGTAAGGATACCAAATAAACACATATGGGGGGGGGGGGGGGGGGGGTTCTGGTATATTATGTGAATACTATACTAGATTTGTATGGCAAATATATTAAGCATGATGTTTCATATCAAGGGTACAATTTAAGCGCTCTGAGAAGCTAACCTGCGTGGAAGGCGCTATATAAGTGCAAGTTGTTGTTGCTGTACAATGCTTATCTACAAACATACAGTAAAGCTTATAGTTTATCTCATTGTTGCAGCAATGTTGATAAATCCTCCAAATGCTCAACTGATAGTCGTGTGACGCCTTCTACCTTCAAGTCTTAAATCATTACGTGCTTTATTGCTCTTTTACCTATGCTTGTATCACACCAGTTAAAAAAAAACCCGCCTAAACTTTGTAAATAGAAAAGATAACACATATCTGACGCTAAACTCGTGCATTCATTCAGCAGAAGTCCTGATTTGGGGTTCTTTAAATATTTCCATTTCACTTGAAAGCTGTGTTACACCTTTCGCGTCAACTTGTCTTGTCATTCTGCCATTTAAGTCACTGCCAAACCGTACAGTAGCATCGAAATATAGATACTCAATTCATGGTCTGCAGACTGCCATTATGTATTCACCACCAATGCATATTTCATACACAAATTTCATCTATACAGTGGTCGAATAATATATTAACTGCTCTGGGACTATGGGCGCCCACTGCATCAAATCATTACAGCTTATGCTTTTCTAATAATAATAATATGAATAATCTTATGAATGCAATGCACACATATGGGGGACTATGTGCGTGTGTGTGTGTGTGTGTGTGTGTGAGAGAGAGAGAGAGTGTGTTGATTGCAACATGCACCCATTACATGACATGACATGACATTAGACACACACACACACACACACACACATCATGCCTTGTCAATTGAATGCAGAGCAACAGGTAGGTGCCTGGCGTTGCCTTCAGAGCATTTGCAAGAGCAAAGGTGGGGGGTTGGTGGGGGGGGGGTTGTGTGTGTGTGTGTGTGTGTGTGTGTGTGTGGGTGTGTGTGTGTACCGCTGTGTTGCAGCTTGGCCTGAGGTCCAGCACCTACCTGAAGTGGAGGTGGCGCTCTGCCTGAGGATAGTGGCCGCCGCCGCTGGCCTGGAGGTGGGTGCCGACTGCCCTCTGCGAGCCGCGTCGTCGCTGCCGCCGGGGGAGCGGCGCCCAGGCCGCTGGCTGGGGGGGGCAGGGGCCGCGGCCCTCAGGCCCTTGCCATCGTGCAGGGGCAGGGGCGGCGCCTCGAGCGCCTGCAGAGCCCGGGAGTGGCTGGCGTTGACGTACAGGTGCGCCTGAGCCTTGTACTCCTGCAGCTCGCCCACGTTGGCGTCCGTCACCCGGCACTCGTACAGCCCCTCGTCTTCCTTGCGCACCTTGGAGATCTGCAGCTTGTGCGAGATGTCGCTGCCCATCACTTTCACCGTCTGCAAAAAGGTGGGGGGGGGGGGGGGTGGGGGGGGGGGGGGGGGTGGGGGGGGGGGGGGGGGGAGGAAGGAGGGAGAGAGAGAGAGAGAGAACAGAGCCACGAGTAACTAACTCCCCAGCACTGTGTGTGTGTGTGTGTGTAAGTGTGTGTGTAGGATCTGGACTTCCATCATGATCACTGTGTGTATGTGTAGGTGTGTGTGTAGGTGTGTGTGTGTGTGTAGGTGTGTATGTGTAGGTGTGTGTATGTGTAGGTGTGTGTGTGTGTGTAGGTGTGTGTGTAGGTGTGGTGTGTGTGTGTGTGTAGGTGTGTGTGTAGGATCTAGACTTCCATCATGATCACTGTGTGTATGTGTAGGTGTGTGTGTGTAGGTGTGTGTGTAGGTGTGTGTGTGTGTGTAGGTGTGTGTGTAGGATCTGGACTTCCATCATGATCACTGTGTGTATGTGTAGGTGTGTGTGTGTAGGTGTGTGTGTAGGATTTGGACTTCCATCATGATCACAGTGTGTAGGTGTGTGTGTGTAGGTGTGTGTGTAGGTGTGTGTGTGTAGGTGTGTGTGTAGGATTTGGACTTCCATCATGATCACCGTGTGTGCGTGTTTGCGCACAAGAGCCTTCAGGCTCAATGCAAGACACCAACACTCGGTCACACACACACACACACAACACACAACACACAACACAACACAACACAACGCACAACACAACAGGCGAGTTGCAAATGCATTATTCACCACGTGTAATTGTTGCTCTTGTGGTTTGGCAAATACTTTCCCCCCAAAAACAAAACACTCGGGGGGACCTTTTTGTTTCGCGAAAACAATGAAATGAAATGGACCCACGTTGGCACCGACGGCGATTTGGTTGTTATAATCGCTCCACTGTGTGTGTGTGTGTGTGTGTGTGTGTGTCGTGTGTGTGTTTTTTTTGGGTCCTGCGAGGTTTGCATAAATTCAACGCTCTCTCTCTCTCTCTGTGTGTGTGTGTGTGTGTGTGAGTGTGTGTCTCCTGCACCGAAATCGGTTTGGGAAAATGGTACGAAACCCCAGTCGAGGCAGAACATTTCCAGCGTCTTTTTTTTTTCTGTTGATTCCCTGAAATATGCTGTGCACCGTCCAGCGCCCTGGGGACGTCGTCCCGACGCGAAAGGCGTCCTTGCAAAATGTGACCTTGTTGCTTGTTGTTGATGATGCTATTTAAACCCGATCTTTAATGTAAGGACCTAATAATAATAATAATAATAATAATGATGACGACAACAACAACAACAACAAATAAGACACAGAGAGAAAACACTGCCCCGTGTCTCTCAGACGCGATGCGGTGCCAAAGTGAACTGGAGAGGGCTGCGTCGTACCGCACCACTGAGAGGGCGCAACTGGATGGGACAGTGCTGCAGCAACAGCCAAACGCAATCGCAGCAGGAAAAAAAAAAGGGGTGAGGGAGGGGGGGGGGGGGGGGGGAAGGGGGGGGGGGGGGGGGGGGTGGCGGGGGAAGGGGGGGATAATCCCTAGAAACTGCTCTGTTGAGGGCGGGAGAGGGTTAGGGTTCGGGCTCACACGCCCGCGGGGATCTGAGCTGTCAGTGTTCCCAGTGCCATCGGGGGGTCCCGACGGTCGCGTAATCGTTGCAGGTGGCGCTCTTGGGTGTGGGGTCGAAAAACGTGGGAAGAGACACCTGGAGGAGTCGGGGCAAACGGGGCCAGGTTACATTCTTGGGAATAACACAGAGATCCCCCTCCCTCCCCCTCTCCCTCTCCCTCCCTCTCTCCCTCCCTCCCTCCCTCCGATTAAGATCAAAGTCACAGCCACAATCCTAACGTGTCGCCCTTCTCTCCAGACGGTTCCCCGCACCGCGTAGCCGGCGATGCACCTGTCACTGCGGGGGTTGGGGAGTGCGGTCGGAGCCCATTCACAACGCCGATCGTCACTCTGGGTCCTCTTTAATCCGAGTCAAACGGACGCGGATTGCTTCTCCGTTCCCATTGCTCCGTTCCGCCAGCGACGAGACAACTCTCGGTGTCGCGCTGCTGCTTTGCGGTTTCACTGCGGTTTAAGACCATCGCATCGCATCGCATTCGCATTCGCATTTGCAGATAGAAGCGAAAGACACCCAAAACCCGACCCGGAGGCGGTGACAGTCGTCCACTTAAACTGATGGACGGGTTTGCAACACCCGGTCGCTCTTTTGCTGTTTGCACGTTTTCTACAGCTGTGTGTATGTGTGTGTGTGTGTGTGTGTGTGTTTTAGCGAGTTTCCACTGGCAGTGGAGGACAGCTATCTATCTCATCCTTGCAATATTTTGCAGCCCCCGCCCCCCCCTCGTCGCGTCGGGGAGACGTCTCAGAGCGCTCCACGGAATATACTGGGAAGAGTCGATCGACTGTGTGTTCTGTGGAAGAAAGGCGCAGTGCACATTATCTTTTGATACCCAGATCGACTCTCCTCTTCCCCATCCCTGAGTCCCGGGAGATGTTATATTTCCCAATTAAGTTGGGGGGGGGGTTTGCTTTGATGTTAAACACCAGAGAATTGTGCAAATGTCCTGATCTCCGCTCGGAGTTTAGCTTCGCTTCGGCGTGGATCGAGGTGTCAAAACTCACGCTGATTTTCGTCTCGTCGTTGATCATTTCGCTTCGTGGCATTGGATCCAACTGCTCGGAGACAGAAAAAAATAATTGAACACAAAAGGTGAGAGAGAGAGAGAAAGAGGCTGTGCCGGCGGCCGGATTTACACGCGCCGTGTTTTTGCATCGCTGCACTGGTGCCAAACACGCGGGCGATCGCTGCACTGGTGCAAAAACACGCGGGCGATCGCTGCACTGGTGCAAAACACGCGGGCGATCGCTGCACTGGTGCAAAACACGCGGGCGATCGCTGCACTGGTGCAAAACACACGGGCGATCGCTGCACTGGTGCAAAAACACGCGGGCGATGCCGAGCGAGGACTTTTACATCGGATCGTTTGGTTTGGTGTTAATACTGAGCTCGACCCGAGAGAGAGAGAGAGAGAGAGAGATTCACTGTCACCCGCCTGTGAAATGCTAATTTCTCCTCTTATCACTGACCCCCCCCCCACCCCCCCACCCCGACCCCCCCCCACTCCCCCTCCGCCTGTCCCAATGGTCTCCAAATCCGCCTGGACTTCTCGCTGACCGGTTGAATTCGGCCCCGAACGGCGGGTGAAACCCCGCGTCAAGTTTGCCAGAAAGATTGCAGCAGAGGTGCGGAGGCGGTGGTTCGGTTCCCGCACGTGGAGCGGTGCGGGTTTGGTACGGGGGGGGGTCCAGATGTGGTTATCATCAGCAACAGTGTCACCGCGGTTTACGCGCATTAAAAGCACTCGCCGGGAGATTAACCCGTATCTTTTTCTCCCCCCCCCCCCCTCCTCCCACGAAAATGCAGCATACTCGGGGTGGGGGGGTAACTTCTCCAGGTATTGTTGCTGCTCGAGTTTTATCGTCACGGTGAATGCATTGGTTCCAGTGTAAAGTATAGCCGAGATCACACCAGAGGTGTTTGCATCGCGATGCGCAACACACGCGTAAATGTGCTCAAGACCCCGAGGGATGCGAGACACAAGTTATTTCCTCTCTCTCTCTCTCTCTCTCTCTCTCCCCCCCCCCACCCACCCCACACACACTCACACCCCACCCCCCCCCCCCCCCGCTCCAGACGGCCCCCACATATGTATGTGTGTGCAGAGTATATTCATTACAAAAGTGCATTCGGAAATAAACACCGACTGCCAATGGTCAACTCAGGAGAGGCTCCAACGCTACAGGTAATGTGCAAAAAAACATTGATACCAACCCCCCCCCCCACCCCGACGCCCTCCCTCCCTCCCTCCCTCCCTCCCTCACCACCCCCCTCCCCATCCACCCGCACCCCCTTCCTCTCCCCACCCCCATTGCTCCTGTCACGTCTGAACTCCCCGCCCCTCAAGGTGTGTGTGTGTGTGTCCCCCCCCACACCCCCACACAACGTGAGGCTGGTGGTGGGTGGGGGGAAGGGGGGGGGGCGGGGGGGTCCCTGCGGTAGACCTGTTGCAAACACCAACCAGCCCGGGCTCGACCCTCGCCCGATCCAGTCACCCGCAACGGGAACACGCACACCCGGGGTGGGTGGGTGGGGGTGGGGGGTGTTGGGGGGGGGGGGGGGGGTCGCTCGGGCACCGCTTCAGTGCAGGGTTTCCCCAATGTTGATGCACCGTTCGGATCTGTGTTCCTTTGATTATTTTCTCTCTCTCGGGACGTGTTTTGAGTTCCCACCGATAGTTTCCGCGTAACGTTACATTACGCGGAGAGCAACATTGACAGATAAAGGCATTCGCAGCCTGAGTTAAGTTTAATAATAATAATAATAATTGGTGGGGGTGGGGGGGTGGGTGGGTGGGAGACACACACACATACGTACTATCTATTTGCAGAGCAGCTACGAGAGTGCTATACTACGTTACATAAAGTCATTTAATCGACCAAAGACAGGGCACAAATGGGAAATGCGGGTACCATTTGCATGCGTGCGTATTGGTGATGGTGGGTGATGGAGTGGGGGGGGGGGGAGAGAGAGAGAGAGAGAGGGTCGATTAATTCAACCCAGAGGAAAAGCCACACAGTTGCGGGGGGTGGGGGGGGGGTGGGGGGTTTGCCGTACCTGCCTCTTGCTGTTTTCAGGGCTGTAGTCCTGGTCGGCTGGAGCTCGAATGAACCACCACTGGATCTCCAGGTAGTAGGATGGGGACCCGCTGCCCCTGAAGGCGCAGGCCATCTCCACATTCTCCCCCTCGGTGGCTGTCACGCTCCGGGGGAGCTCAGTGAATCGCGCTGCAAAAGGTGGGGGTGGGGGGTGGGGGGTGGGGGGTGGGGGAGTGGGGTGGGGGGGGGTGGGGGTTCACATCTTTTACCGTGCTTTTTTTCTTTAAAAAAAAGAGTCCCCCCCCCCTCCCTGAACGCACCAGGTCATGTATGACTGCAGGAATCGTTAGCAGAGCCCCGTCACCATCAACACAACACCCCCCACCCTCCACAACACACACGCACACAACTACACACACACACACAACTACACACAACACACACACAACTACACACAACACACACAACACACACACACTACACACAACACACGCACACAACTACACAAAACACACGCACACAACTACATACAACACACACACAACTACACACAACACAAACACAACTACACACAACACACAACTACACACAACACACACACACAACACACACACACAACTACATACAACACACACACACAACTACACACAACACACACACAACACACACACACAACACACACACACACACAACCTCACACAACACACACACGCACACAGCCCCTCGCATGTGCAACAGCTGGACTTGCTGCTTGTTCATTCATTCCCCAGTTGTTGGCTCCCCTTATTCGAGCCCTCCGTGTTTTCTTCCCGTGCATTAAACACGAGGAAAATACAAACCCCGACATTAAAACCACAGCAGCGATCGTTTGAAAGCGATCGGTTCCAAGTTAACGCCTCTAAAAATTCGGACACATTGAATAGTTGACCCCAAGTGAATTACTCGCCTCCTATTTGTGTTCCCTCCTCTTATTCGCTCAGCTTCATCTTTCCTATGTTCTCTTTTACACTCCCCCCCCTCTCTCTCTCTCTCTCTCTCTCCTACTTTTATTTGGGAACACGTTCTTTTTTCCCCCCACTTTTCCCCCTCCTTCCTTCTTTGCCAGTTTTCCCGAATGTTACAGCATTTTCTCCCTCCAACTCCCACCCCTCCACCCCCCACCCCCCCCCCCCCCCCCACCCCATCCCTTGGTTCTTCGCCTTTCTCAATCGTTGATCTCTCTCTCCCTCTTTCTCACTCTGTCACTTCACGCTTCATGCTTTCCAGCCCACCGATCCGCTCAGAGGGGGCAAAAAAAATAAATAGCCAAGGTTACACAGTCCGGTGCTGTGCTGTACTCCTGTGGCACATCTACACAAATACCCTTCCCACGACCACAGTAAGTCTCTGCTTTGACAGTCAGAGACTCGGGGAAATCAATCAGTTTCCAGTCGTGCCCGGTGTGGTCCTGTGCCTCTCTCACACCCAATCTGTTTCCCTCCATCCATCTATTTTGCACGACTTACCTTTCCCTTCCAGTCCTCAAACACATAACACAGTGTGTCTCTTCCCCACACCACTATTTACGTGCAACTTTTATTCCACTCGCTTTTCAATAAACAACCGACTCCTCCATCCCTCCCAACCCCTACCTTGTTTAATTATTCCCCCCCCCCCCCAAAAAAAAAGCAACTTAGCAGCCTTGAGACACACAGATCCATCTCGGTTCATTTCTTTTCATTTTCAGTTTGCAAACAAGAGGTGTGTGGGGTGAGGTGGGGTGGGGTGTGGGTGGGGTGGGGGGGGGGGGTGGGGGGGGGGCAAAGAATATATTAATCAAGCTTACCTTGGGATGAAAAGGTCAACTGAGCGAAGAAGATAAAGATGCAACCAAATCCAAGAGAGAGAGAAACGGTCCCCATCATCCCAAATAACACATCAGCACCCACACAGAATCCAGGCGTCCTGAAAAAATTACACGAGGGACACCGCAAATCTTCTCGGGAGTCGATGTGCTATCTGCAGCATTGTGGAATTTTTCTCTCTGTGTGTGTGTGTGTGTGTGTGTGTGTCTCTGTGTGTATGTGTGTTTCTCTGTCTCTCTGTGTATGTCTCTCTGCGTGTGTGTGTGTGTGTGTATGTGTGTGTGTGCTGCTGAAGATCACAGTGTTTCTGGGGATGATCTGGAGAGGGCGATCTGGCGAGTCCAAAGCGCAGCTCCGGAGTGAGCGGCGTACAGCAGTGGTCGCTGCTGCTGCTGCTGCTGCTGCTATTGCTGCTGCTCTCCGCTCCCCGACTCCAGTGCGTCAGTCAGTTTCTCACCCATTGCGTATTCGCCCTCTCATCACATTCTGCAAAGCAGCCCCAGGAAATATCCGCCCCTCGCAGCAGATCAGCCCGATTACGCGCTCGCTGCAACTCCCAACTGTTGTGCTCTTCTTCCCCCCCACCCACCGCCCCCCCCCCACCCCTGCTCTCTCGTCGACGGTCGGTAACCCACCACACAACGCATTCATCACTTTTAACCCCCCCTTCAAATGCAACTCCACTGCATCACATCAGGAGGCGTCGCAAAGGACCGCAAAAAAAATAGCTTAGCAAAAAAAAACACACACACACACACACCACCAAATAGTAGTGGATTCTATGCAAAAGAGCGGGTATAACCCCCTCACCACCACCACCCCCCTACCCCACCCCCTCCTCCTCCTCTCCTCTACAGCGTTTCATGAAACTTTGCTGGTTGTATTGTAACTTATGCATTCTGCTCTCTGCTAAAGGTTTATCAGTTTAAAATGCGTTTCAAACACAGAACCACATTATTGCATTGCAACGTCTCTTTATCGGTTCGCTTCGATAACTCAGATGTGATACTTCAACTCATCTCCGCTGCAGAACAAGAAACAGCCAAGGTTTGCTATTTTTCATGCACTTCCTCAGAAAGCCATTTTGTGAAACTGTTCCTTCTTAACTGCATGCAGTGGTTTTATTTAACATCGGTTTATAGGAACTCAAAAAAAGAAGACTTCCAGGAAGATTGCGATTGCATCAAACAGACTATAGTATAACACCGTGGGGTCTGGATCTGAAGCTGGTCGCCTGATCATAGTGCAATTCCATATTTCTTATTGAAATGTTGCACGAACATCATCTACCAACACATCAATTTATTTTACGAATAACTACTGAATTATTGTGGGGTGGGGAGAGAGGTGGGGGGGGGGGGTGGGGGGGGGGGGTGGGGGGGATGTGGGGGGCTTGGAGGATAATTGAACCTTCTCTGTCTGGTGTCATATATTCGTTTGCCCTGTGACATCGTGCTCCACACACACACACACACCTTCTGACAGCTTTGGAGGACTGCAGTGCTGAAATACTACACAAAGCCTTACGCCAGTGACCGAGCGTTGTGGGATTGCAATACGAGTTCGCAATCATTCCCCGTTTTCAAATATGTGATTGGAATAAGCACAGGAGATCAGATACCTTGCAAACACACTGCAAAATAATGCACCCACACACACACACACAATGATGACCACCTTCCTATCATGTCATCTTGTCTAACCATGAGCGCATGCAGCAGAGTGCTTGTATCAGCCTTCTTCCCACCCACTGCACGATCAAAGCATCGCAATGGAAGGTTTCCTATACACTACAAAAAAAAAACAACAGTAAGGCAGCGTGTTTTTTTTCACATAAAAATTATGCAATACGTTGTATGCAACGACAAGTGGTTTGGAAGCGCGCTGGGAAACTGCAACGCAATGTTGTGCTCGATAATGGGAAGGGTGGCAACATGAACCCCACAGGTTGAAGATTTACTCGAACCCCTTTATTATGTTGAGGTACTGTATAGTACCTTATAATCATTTTATACTGTATACTGTATACTTGTACCATGTGCCTTTTGTTATTCTACACTGACAGCATAGACACTGTGGGCACTATAACCAGTATCCCAATGAGCAAATAAAGCTTCAGACCCTCAACAAGTCAATGCTCCTAGACTGGCACTGTTTGCACATGTGGCACATTGGTTAGAGCACTCGCCTCGCAAGTGAGAGACCTGGGTTCTATTCCCGGCAGGGCAATATGTTGGGCAAGTTTCCTTACTCCACACACCTCTGTTTACCTAGCCGTAAATAGGAACCCAGTTGTTAGTCGATTGGCGGATTGCTTTTCCGGGGATAATAATCCCTAAAAAAAAAACTTGGTCACTTAATCCACGACTGTTTGTGGGAACATGCTGTGTGCAATTGGCTGCTGCGTTTTGCCCACAAATATACAGTCAATTCATGTTACAGCATATTCTGCAAAGCACTTTGAGACATCTCGAACACTTGAAAAGTGCTATATCAGATGCAAGGATTAATATTACTATTGTTGAGTTACATATCATGTTCCACTTCAAGACTTCAAGCGCAGTCCTTCCTACATGCCATACACCATATTGTCAAAACAACATATTGTGTCATGCTGTACAGCCTGCTCATGAGTGGCTATGCAAACAATCTGAAATGGCTATAATTTCATTGTGTATCAGAGTATTTGTATAGCATCATAAAAATGGTTAGCCAGAGGCAAAACTCTGAATTATCATGAGTGACTTGTTGGGAGCCATTTGATTTGAGGTTGTTTATGATACGGCTTTGCAGGAAAAATCCTTTTGATTCATGAAAGTTTGAGAAACATTACAGTACTTGCAAAACTGTTTTGATCACTCAGCAATCAATCATGGCTGTTCACTTGGATTGTTTATGTGGACAAAACAGTAAAAAAAAACATGTAATAAATGGAAATAAAACTATGAAAAATATCATAGCTTTTTCTCACTAATGGTAAAAGTAAATGCATAAGGCATACATGAATCATTCATGTTCTATAAAATAACCCTCATAAAGTTGCAGACTAGTGGCTCCTAAAACCATATATCTTCACATCATCTGCCCACTGCCGATACTTTTCTTGTACCCTGCCATATGCCCTTTTCTTCTCTCAGTATCTTGCTTCTATCTCCTGGTGTGTGTTCTCACTGTTCCGTGATGTTCTGTATTTCTCGCCTACCATTTCTTATTCTCTTTTGTTCTTTTTCTGAGGTTTTCGACTCTCTCACTCCTCTCTCAATTTCTCTCTCCTTGTTTCTTTGTATTGTGAGGTACTTTCTATCTTCTGTATCTAATTTAACTTCCCCAGGAACTCTTTCCTTCCCACCATCTCTGCCAATAACCTTTATGTACTCTCTCCATCTCATTTTTCTGTTTTCTGTATTTTCTTTCTCGTTTTCACTGCCTGTCCTTATCAGCTTTGGCATTACAATAAAGGCATGTTTTTTCCTCTCATTCTCAGAGAATTTGGATCAGTAGTAATCATTTTGTTAATGACCAATAGACTGGGAGAGGGCAGTAACTACATTGTTTTTGTGGTCTATGGAGCTTTCACAAATTTGTAGGTTTATCTACTGCAGGTAGATCCCATGGCTCCTCGTACCTGATATATACTGAAGCATTGCATTTCTGCCAAAGGCTAATCTTTAATTCACTTGTATGCATGGTATATGAACCTTGGTAAGCATCATAATGAATAAATTGAGTCCTGTAGCTCAGTAGTTAGAGCACTCGCCTTGCAAGCAAGAGACCTACCTGGGTTCAGTTCCTGGCAGGGCAAAAGCTTGGGCAAGTTTCCTTACTCCACACATCTGATAATAAGTCCCTCAAGAATAAAAGCGATAATAATTTGGTCACTCAATCCATAACTGTTTGTGGGACACTGCTGTGTGCAATTGGCTGCTGCGTTTCGCTCACAAGCATACAGTCAATTCATTTTACAGTATATTCTGTGAAGCACTTTGAGACATCTAGAAGACGTGAAAAGTGCTATTTCAAATGCGATTATTATTATTATTTTATTATTGCATGTGAAAATGTACAGTGACATGACCTGCAGTAACTCAGTTAATCAATTAGCCAATAAAAGGTGTATTTCAGTGCTCCAACATTCTATGCAGCAGGAAGGGTGCTATGCAGTATACATAAATGAAAGTCACTGTTTTATTTAGCTGCATGTGCTACAAAAAAAAATTCATCCTCTTCTATTCTTTTAGCTTGCTGCAACTTTCCATCAGAATTACCACTGCCTGCTACAATATTGGTGGAGGGGCAAGATGACTTATTAGGTCATGGAATGACCTTTAGACATAGAATTGAAGGTTGTTTCAAGACTTATGTTACATTTATGTTGCACAATTAGCTTTCATACTGTTCTAGAATTTCTACCAATCTCCTGCCAAAGTGGGGGCAGTAGAGCTAGCTACGATTCACTGACTTTGAAGTTAGTAAAGAGTGGTTTCATAGTGGTTTCAATGAACACTATTGCAATTTTAACTGTAGCCGGCATTACCTATTCTAATTGCTTTCCCGCAACATGCGTAATATTTTCCAGCATCCATTTGCTTTGGAAAACGATTTGTACCAAATAACACATAGGTTTGACTGATTGAAGTGAGCATTTTTTTGCCCTCTTGTGTTGTGCTGGAAGATTTTTACAATTATATAATACTGGACTAGTTCAACACATACCATTTGTTTTTTTTACACAAACCTTTGAAGGCATATTTCACATGAAGACGACTTTTACTCTACAGTATTTTTAATGGGGCTTTCTGGAATGTTTGTGAACTGGTTGCTTCTCAAACCATCTGTTTTTTCTTTGTCATCTGTTTTCTTGTGTATCATTCCCTATGTTGCAAGATCTTTTCAATTCAGAGTGATCCACACAGCATTTTATTTCAAGACCTGTTCACTTAATAATGTTTTATGGTATTTTGGGGGCATTGCCCTGGGCATATGGCCTTTTACTACCTATGTTTTACTCTATAAATTCTTCTTTGCAGTACCTTATAAAGTTACAATTGATGCTATGGGCATGAAAGCTTTTCAACTATTACTCCCTCAAGATAAAATGGAATGGCATGTGTATTTAGTACTGTATTGAACAATACTAAAACCTGGGTGTCTGTCTACATTTAGTAGAAAGTTGTCCTTTTCTGGATAATATAGAAAAACACATATTGTT